CCATCCGTCCATCCCTCCGTCCATCCATCCATCCACCCATCCATCATCCATGTATGCATGCACCTTTGAATACATTCATTTATGTGTATATGTACAGATGTATAATACATACATCTGTAACCTCTACATGTATACAGGTTTGCCTATGTGTGTATGTATATATATATATGTATATGTGTGGATATATATATATATATATGTATAGCTATGCACATATGTACAATTATCCAAGTGTGTACACAGACCCACAGCAAGAAACACACAGTCCGAAGCCTGAACCCAAAACCCTAAACCCCTAAACCCTAAACCCCCTAAGCCCTAAACCCCTGAACCCTAAACACCTAAACCCTAAACCCCTAAACCCTAAGGCTGAAGCCTTAATCTTCTAGGTTCCCCTAGCCCCTTAATAATAAGGGTGCTCTTTTTCCTACTCTTTGGTTTTAATAAAGGAAACCCAAAAACAAAACGGGCAAAAGGGTACTACTAGGGAACCTTGTCTTGCTCAACCTCAAAGCTCTGCGAAGGAATGCGAACTTTACGAGCATTTCTAAACCTCAGAAGGCCCCTTGAGCCGGATTTCGGGTTTCGGGCTTTGGGCCCTAAACCCTATCGTTAGAAAACACTAAGGTTTGGGGTCTATGCAAATTAGACCGTGGTGGCCAAGATGCAACGACTCGGCTCATGTTGGCGACAAGGTCGCCAGTCGTTCTTTGGACAGAATGACTCCGAATGAATCAGGCCAGTGTGTTGCTGGCAGAGAGGCTATTACGGCCGAACCTGCCTAGGAAGTGCTGTCACATGATAGTAGGGTCAGATATAGGGCTCTTTGTTGTGCTAGCTACCGCTCTACAGCGGATTCAGCTATTCAGTCAATAATTTTCAGATCCGTTATGTTGAGATGTGCTCCGTGCTTCCCCATGGCATGCGATTGATGAAAGCCGAGCGCGGCCAGCATTCAGAGAAGTATCCAAGAAAGATCATCCTTCTATCTTAGATGTTTACATCCACTCACAGACATTGATTTTAGGGCTTAACGGTTTTGGGGTTCAGGGTTTAGGGTTGAGGGGTGTGTTGGCCAGGGCTCAGGAGTTGCCATAAGGGGCTGGCGCAGGTATCTTGTTAGTTTCGTACTGGTTCGCTGTTTCTGCAAGCGGGATTTGACCCACATCCCAACCGCAGATATGCCGCCTGCTCGGACCCCGACAATACAAAGTCAACATGAGAGGGCTTAGGGTTTAGGGTTTAGGGTTTAGGGGTTTAGGGGTTGAGGGGTTTAGGGGTTTAGGGGAAACCCTCGACCCTAAACCCCGAAACCTAAAGCCTCCTCTGCTCAAGGCCCCTTCAAGACACCAGCATCTTTCACTGGAAGCGCCTGAACCTGAAGAAGAACACCGCAACTCTTGTGCTCTAAAGCCGAAATGCGAAGAACTGCATAGAACAGCCCCCCAGAACCTGAACTTCATACATCGAAAGCTCCTGAGCACTGACTCCTAAGCCCTGCCTGGGCCCCCTTGAGGGCCTACTTCAGAAACTCCTAAGAAGCGGCCCAAACATGGTAGGGCTTCTTTCTTAGTGGCCGAGTACCTTAGCCCAAAAAAGGTTAACACTTTGAATTATGATAGGTTTATATAAGCCCCAAAAGGTTAAACTTTAACAGGTTACCAACTCAGCCCCTAAGGGTTGGTATACCTACAGCCCTGAAGCCTAAGCCCTGCGCCCTAATGCTCTGAAGACAGGGAGCCCCAAGCCGCCAAAACCCTAAACCCCCCTGAACCTAAACCCCGTAAAACCACCCAAAAAACCCTCAACTTCCCTAAACCCCCTAAAAACACCTAAACACCGTAAAACCACCCAAAAAACCCTAACTTAGAGAAACTCTAAACCCTAAACCCCGTACAACCACCCAAAAAACCTAAATCACCCAAACTTTAAGAAAAAACCCGAAACCCTAAGCCTAAACCCCCCTAAACCCTAAACCCCACACCTAAACCCCCGTAAAACCCCGCAAAACCCTCCCAAAAACCTTTAAAACCCCCCTAAAACCCCTAAGCCCCCCTAAAGCTCTGCGGAGAGCCGGTCAGGGCCTCACGGAGAAGACCGGGTCCATCAGCCAAGAAGGGAAAAGCACACTCAGTTCCGAGGTAAACTTTGCCTGTCAACTTGCGGCTTTGAGTTTAGGGCTTACCTGTAGTCTCCATTGTAGTTCCTTTTTTTGGTTTAAACAATTCTATATTAAGGATCCCAAAAGGTAACCCCAAAAAGGAACTACAATGGAGACTATAGGTAGGGTCTAGGGTTTGGGTATTAAGGTATTACGGTATTAGGGTATTGGGGTATTAGGGTATTAGGGTATTAGGGTATAGGGTTCAGGGTTCAGGGTTTTCGGTATTAGGGTATTAGGGTTTAGGGTCTAGGGTTTAGGTTCTTAGGGTTTAGGGTTCAGGGTTTTCGGTATTAGGGTATTAGGGTTTAGGGTCTAGGGTTTAGGTTCTTAGTTAGGGTTTAGGGTTTTGGGGTTCAGGGTTCAGGGTTTTAGGGTTTAGGTTCTCGTGTTGTTTAGGGTTGGGGTGTATGGCAGCTTCATGGGGATCCGGCTTCAGCAATTTCGGGCTTAGGTTGTGTGTTTTGCTTTTGTTTTTTGCTCGGTTCGTGGTGACCTTCTGTGGGGTGGGAGGCTCTGAAGTCAAGGGCTCAGATTCTGCTCTAGTGTTTGTGGGGCAGCAGGGAGCAAACCCTGCAAAGCCCTAAACCCGAAACCCGCAGACCCTAAAGCCCTACCTAAAAAGGCTATGAATGTCAGGGCCTGTCAGGGTTGAGGGCAGGGTGAAGATCCCTTAATGAACTTCAGCCTTTACCAGGCCATAACAATCCTTAAAGACCGCAACAATAAGGGCCTCACTCATTAGAACAGGGCTTTGGGGGCCCATGGTACTAGAAACTTATAACTCATAGTAAGGACCCCCCCCCCAACCTGGCATTAGTAATTCTTTAGCCCCCTATACCTTCCCCCTAAACACCCAAATGCTCAAACTCACATGACCTCAAACCCTAAACCCTACAAGCTCGAAGGCCTGACCTCTAAACTCTAAACCCTAATCTCTACAAGCCTGAAAGCCCCCAAAGCCCCGCCAACCGGCCACTAAACCCTAAACCCTAAACCCTAAACCCTGGACCCCTAAACCCTAAACCCTGGACCCCCTAAACTTTTAGCAGGTTCTGAAGAGAGTGCGGGCCGGCCTCCATGCAGCGACGCCGCATCTCTCGTGAGTCCAAACCCCTAAACCCAAAACCCTAATACCCTAAAAACCCTAAAACCCAAAACCCTAAACCCTAAACCCAAAACCCTAAACCCTAAACCCCTAAACCCCAAACCTAAAGCCCTATAAACCCTAAACCCCTCAAACACCCTAAACCCTCAGCTCTTCAAGCACCTTTGGACCCGAATCCGAAGCTGAAGAGATCCAAGCTCTGAATCCGAAGTGCCGGGTTCAGTTAGGGTTTAGGGTTTAGCCCAGAGGGTCCGAGTACCCAAGTAGTAAGGTTTTAAGTCCAAAAATCCATACTCTGAATGGTTTTTGGACCCTGAAACCCTACTATTTGGGTACTTGGACCCTTAGAGTAGGGCTTTAGGGGTTTAGGGTTTCGGTTCAGAGAGCAATATATGGGTAGTTCTCCAAAAAGAAGGCTGCACCATGGGTAGTTCTTTAAAGGGATCTACTAGGGGTACTATAAGGGGTTCTTTAAAGAGATCCATAAGGGTAGCAAAAAGGGTTCAATGTGGGTAGTTCTCTAACTTAGGTGCCTTTGGGGGTCCTTTTTGACAAGGGTGCCGTACTACGTTGGAGGTCCAAAAAGGGACCCTAATTTAGAGAACTACCCATATAGAGGCCAGAATGATTCGCCTCAGGGTTCCTGACTCTTTATTCCTAAGTGCGTTCGGGAGCCATCGTATGACTATAGAGGCCGGGATAATTATCACGCCTCAGGGTTCCTGACTAGACTGCGCCACAAAAACACCCTATTCTACTCATTAAAGCCCCTACGTTTCAATGGTTGCTATATTTCTTTGGAAGCTCCTTTCAAGGCTTCTTTATGGGCTCCTGCAGGGCTTGGTATCTTCAAGGGCTCCTATCAGGCTTCCTTACAGTGGCTCCTTTGTATCCTAACCCCTAACCCCTTAACCCTAAATCCTAAACCCCTAACCCCTAAACCCTAAACCCCTAACCCCTAAACCCCTAAGCCCTAAACCCCTAAACTTGTTAAAAAAAAAAACCATCCGAACTTAGGGCTCCCTCCAGAGGTTCCAGTGAGAGGTCCTCTACGGATTTAGGGTTTAGGGCTTAAAGGTTTAGGGGTTTAGGGTTTAAGGTTTAGGGTCCTATAAAAAGCTTATGCTTTCAATAAAAAAAGGGCTCCCTGGCTGACAGTGAAACGCAAGGTTTTATGATAGTTGAGCTTAAGACCGGAACCGTGGGTTTACGGTTGAGGCCATTTGGGGGGTTGTCAGGCCTTGGTGTTCATGTAGGGACCTTAAATGATTAGAATAGGACTTTGGGGGATACTATGCTATATGTAAAAAAGGGAACCCCCCCCCAAAAAAAACACAAAAAACAAAATAAGTATAGGTAATTATTGAGGCCCTTTTTTAGAGCTTCAGGGCTGAGCAGTAATATCACTAGCCATTCAAGGCCGTGCGCTCTTTTGCAACGGCAGCCGCTGGCTGGGTTTGTGTGCTGGGGGCTGGTGATGATGCTTTCGGCAGGCACCGGCAGCCATAAGAAGCCATCTGCCTTTGCAGATGGGCTTAGGAAGAGACAGCTCCTAGTAACTAGGCGGGAAAAAGTCCCGCATGGGAGGTTGGAGCCTGCAGACTCCGTGCCCCGTCTTCAGGACTTAGGGTTTAGACTCTCATCTGACACTTCAAATTTCTACGAGATCTTCTTCGAAGATTGCAGACTGACTGGCATTGAACGAGGTCTTGGCTCGTGCTGCTATGGCACCTACATCGAGGAGGAGTGCCTGAGCATCTTTCCAGCCGGCAAAAAGCCCTTCCGATCCCAGTAAGAGCTCTTGAAGCCTGCGGTTGAACTCCTCGATCTCCTGGGTTCTTGTTAATGGATTTTGTTTAAGTTATAGTTATAATAATATAGTTTAGGGTTTAGGGTTTAGGGTTTAGGGGTTAGGAGGGTTTAGAGGCTATGTTTGAAGGGCTTTCCTTAAATAGACTAGGCAGGGGCCTTCATCAGTGGAATAGCCTGTAAGTATATTGGGACCCCAAGGAGTACTGCTTGCAAGTATTCAGGGTCCTGTACTACTTCTAAATGCACCTACAACTGAGAAAGCATGAACAAGTTGTCCCAAAATGCCACCGAGACTCTGATGCTGAGCCAATCCTGGGTTCCCCCGCACCGCTTATGGAACCCCCTCAAACAATCACTTTTAGAACTTTTAGAATCCTTGTAGAATCCCTTGCGGAATACGTACCATTTCGGATTTCGACCGGAATCCTTGTAGAACCTTAAACCTATTCCCCAAACCCCTAAACCGTAAAACCCTAGCAAACCCTAAACCTTAAACCCTTCCTTTCCCAAAAGAAAGGAAGCAAAAAAGGGCACTGCTTAACCCTAAACCTTAACCCCCAAACCTAAACCCTAAACCCTAAACCTTCCTTTTCGAAAAAAAGAAAGCCAAAAAGGGCACTGCTTCGGAGCAGAGAGGCTTTTTCAGGATCCCTTCCTTGTCTTCGGGGCGAGAAGCAGAACAATCTTCTACCTGAGACTCTGGGAACTTCGGGTTCAGGGTTTAGGGTTTGGAGGTTTCTTGTAAGGTTTGGGGTTTAGGGTTCAGGGTTTGGGGCTGGAGGTGTGGGGCTTGGGGCTTGGGGCTTCGGGTTTAGGGATGATGTTAGGCTGAAGGGTTTAGGGTTCAGGGTTTTCATACCCCAACATGGTCATTAACTTTGGGTATGTATTGCAGATAGTGTTTAATTAGAGGCTGCCTACTTTACTGCGAAGCGACTCGGAGTGATTCCAGTTGCGCCGAGTTCTCTTCCTGGGCTCCGGGTGTGGGACTGTAGGGCGTTAGGCTTCACACGGTTTACAGTAGGCTCCTGCAGGGCATCTATCATTCGTTGTTCCCTCGTAAGACTAGCCAGAACCCAAGAATTGGAAAATCATGTTCAGGAGCGGCCAAGCTTCCAGGACCTTGTGGGAATGAAGGACCACATGCTGTTCCATTCTGCTGGCGTGCGCCTGGACCAGCTCGGCTATGCACCATGCGCGCGAGAAGAGGTTAAAGCTTTTGTCAGTCGCAACAACTTGCAGAAAGCGTTGGTGATAACGACGGTGAAGGTAAGCCATCATGCTGTCAAACTTGTTCAGTTCGCACTGAACTGGAGAATCGTTTAAGTACTTTGGTGTAGCGCAGTCACAAGTCGGCAAGGGCTCGCCGGTGACGGTGTCGAGGGCGCCCATAGCAACATCACAGATGCTGGCATGCCTAATTAGGTTCCCCGGTAGCCCCCCTAATGATAAGGGTACCCTTTCTCCTACTCCTTGGTTTCAACAGGGGAGCCCTTTAAAGAAAAAGGCAAAAGGATACCACGAAGGAGCCTGGATGCTGATTGATGCAGAATGCGCAGATCCAGTACTCCCAATGCAGTGACCCTTGGCCCTGAAGCCTTGACCTCAAGGCCTCCTCTCTGCCAGAGGACAACTCATCTGCGATGCTGTCCCAGCGCTTGAGGCCTAAACTGTCCGCAACAACAGCTGCAACGAGATCCCTAAACCTGTTTGCCCAGTGATGCGTCACCATGCGCACCGTCGAGGATGAGCTGGGAAGGCAACGCGTCCGCGATGAGCTTTGCACAACTTCCGCCAGGGCCTTGCCTGTGTCACCGCAGCGTGACTCCGGGATCACGACGTGGCGGACAACGTCCGTCGTAGTAGACCGTGCAGGGTCGAAATGTGCCATGCGTAACTCCCCAGTCGTCCTTTTGGAACCCAGTTTGACATAGAAGTCGAGAAGTTGATCCACCGACATGCGCCGACCAGCTATCTCCTTGACGTGCTCATCCCAGGCACATCGCTGACAGGCCTTCTTCCGAGATTCACTCAATTCACGCCGAATCGAACTCCAGTGGCGAATGCCCGACGCTGCAGAAAACTGTGACAACGTCTTTCCCATTTCCTCTCCCGCCTTCCCGGTTGCGACATGCAAAAAACTAAGATGAACGTTCCATAGGTGTACATATTCTGGTTAACCATGAGAACTGCCCGAGAAACATCCTAGGTTCCCCAGTAGCCCCCCCAATAACGAAGGTACCCTTATTGCTCCTGTTTGGTTCTAATGAGGGAGCCCAAAAAGAAAAAAGGGCAAGAAGGGTACTAATTACTTATACACGCTCACAGACACCCTGCACCCTAAACCCTAAGCTCTAGTCTTCACTCTAAACCCCAAAATCCCAACACCCTAAACCCTAAACTCTAAAGCCGAACCCCTAAACATCTGAGCACAAATCGAGTAGCTGGCTCTGCATCTTCCCGGAGAGACCACCTTTTCTTCTTGAAGCGCCCGCAGGTACACTGCAACTGCTCCTCGACAAAGCCTTGCTTCTGCAATAGCCGGGCCCAAAAACGTTCCAACTTTCTAGGATAGACCAGATGACCAAGTTCAGACCGAGTATATACGCCATCTAAGTTATGGAACCCTTGTAGAACCCTGATAGTAACCCTGCCCCAGACCTAAACCCTGAACCCGTATATACAAGTACCGAGAAGCTGGTGTTGTGCAAGACACTGATGGGCCCCTCCTTCCCCGGGAGGTCGGAGGCCTTTTTCTTCGAGGGCTTCCTTGCTTCCCCAACGTAGAGTCTAGGGTTCAGGGTTTAGGGCTTAAGGGGCTTAAGGTCTAGATTTCGGGGTTGCAACCAGAGCAATAAAAGGATCAAACTTTCAGATCCCTACCAAGCTATAAAGACCAAAAAAATAATTTAAAGGTTGCGTTCAAGGCTTACAGGCTATTGGAGAACCAAGTTTCGGGACCTTCAGCGAGCCGGTGAGGATCACAAGGCCGATAGCAAGTCCAACTGCATTCAGCAGGGAGCCTTCGTCGACTGCTTAGGGTTTAGCGTTGTGGAGTCTAAGTTGCTGAAACTATAAGCCGTGGAAAAGTTCAGACTTTCAGTCTCGTAGGGGACAAGATTATCCCCAAAAGTGTAGCCTGCACCCATTCAGCTACTAAGGAGCTGTAGTCAACGGCGGTGAGGGCGACGTACTCCCAAACGAAGCCGTTCGTCAAGGCGGTGATCAAGACGTAGAAGGCGATGGTTGAGTTGCCTAGGATGCCCAGCCCAGTAGCCTGGGATTAAAATGGGCTCCTTTTTCGTATTGGGTACCTTTATAAGGAACCTCATTAAGACTAAAAAAAAAAGTGCCCACTGGGAGGCCTAATTGCTGAGCAGGACGGCGACTTGAAAACGACGCAGGGTGCTCGCCGCAAAGAGCATCTTCTCCGAGGGAGCCCCACTGAACGCGGTACGACTGCGAAGGGAACGCTGCAGCGCGCGCAGAGGGGCGCGAAGCGCCAAAAATTCCAGAAAAGTCAAGACTACCAGGGCCAGGGCTGAAGTGACGCAACCCAGCAAAAAGAGAAGCCGCAGTCGAAATGCAGCTGGCAACATAATCGTTAGGGCTACGACGAAGTACTTCAGGTAAACGATCGTGCGGAAACAGGGCAGAGGCTCTTCGAACGCCGCCTCAAGAGCCCTCATCATTTTCACGACGATTTGAAGAAACCAATTGCCAGCAAGAACGAGCAAAAACCTGCCGGAGACCTGTAGTCCTGCTATTAGAGACTCCTGCATGTTCACAGAACCCTCCAGGAAGGAATCCCTTACGCCATCATTGTTGCCGTCTGCACCGGCACAGGCAATCCACGTGTTGCCAAGGGTGGCCACAATCTGACTAGTGTACAAGTACAGAAGACACCTGATGCAGTCACGAATATAAGTTGACTGCGGGTGATCGGCCAGCACTAGGTATACTCCAATCACGGTCAGAAACCAGTTCGCCGCATGACGGAAACACAAAAGTGTCCAGAACTGATCAAACTTGTAACCGAATGAGGTCTTCATCTCCGGATCGAAAACACGACAGCCGTCCAAGCCGCCCAGGAACAGCCAGGCTGCGGCGGTGACCACAGAAGTACAAGCCAGCAAGGCAGTTGCCAAGAATGCACGAATCTGGATGGGATATGGAGACGACTGGCTTCTCAGAACATAATAGCCGAAGAAATATCCCCACGCTGCCAGGGCAGCGCAGCCAAAGGTCACATGCACAACCAGTAGCCCGATCGAAAATGCCGCAGACACAGCCGCAGCCGCCCACGGAAGCTGTGACAGCACGCGACGCCGACACAGAGCCATGAGCCCATCAGGCTTCCAATGTGGAGGAAAAGCGATTACAGATCTGAGCCAAAATCCTCGCAACAACAGAATATTGTTGTTATCAATATTATCATTAATTACCATTCTTTCAATAACTACTATTCTATTATGAGTACTCTATGAATAAATAAAGAAATAAACAAGCAAATAAATAAATAATTTCACAAATAATATATATATATAAGTAAATATAAATAAACATAAATGTACATACATATATATGGATGGTAAACCCCCATGACCACCGACCCTTGTCTTGTATCGTAAATACCGCGTTAAACCAGCTTTTCCGTCAGGTCCGGATTCCGCATCTCTCAAAGACTGCCAAAACCAAACTCACATTTCAAGAGAAAGCGCCCGTTGAATCGTTCAAGTTCGACGTGACGCACTCAACCGCAACACTGGACTCTTCCAATCAAAAACCAACCGCCAGGCACCTCGTCCAGGTTCGACGTGAGCACGACTTAACGGCAACACTGTACTCTTCCACTCAGAAACCAACTGGTTCCGAGGTAACACCAAAAAACAACAGTTTTTGGGAAACTATACAGCCAGACTCCACAAAAATGTTTTGTTTGGTTTTCCCTACGAAAAAGTTGGTTTTCGGTGGAAGACCACATTTTTCCTGAGAAAAAACCACCCAAAACAACAAAAAACATCTTTGGGGAAACTATGCGGCTAGACTCCAAAAAGATTGTGTTTTTTTTTGGAAGGAAAAATTGGTTTTCTGTGGAAATACAAACTTTTTCCTTTGAAAAAGTTGGTTTCCGGTCAAAATGCAAATTTTTTCCTAGTAAAAAGCTGGTTTTCGGTCAAAAAAACAAACTGCTTCCTAGGCAAAAAAAGGGGTTTGGGCTGAAAAACAAACTTTTTCATCGGGAAAAGATGGTTTTGCGCAGGAAAACCAATTTTTCCTGGGAGAAACAGAAAAAAACATCGTTTTGGAGTCTGGCCGTATAGTTTTTCCAACAAATGCTTGTTTTTTTTGGTGAATTTTCCCTAAGAAAAAAATTGGTTTTTCCGTTCAATGTCAGTTTGTCCCTAGGAAAAAGTTTGTTTTTCAGCCTAAAGCCATCTGTTTCCAAGGAAAAAATGTGCTTTTTGGCTCAAAACCATTTTGGCCTAGGGCTCCAAGATCAAATTGTTCCCAGCAAAGTGTGTGTATTTCATTTGTTTTTGTGCGCGTTACGAATTACTGTTACCAATAAGGTTCGAGAGTCACTACTATTGGGATTCGATTCCACTTAGCAGTAATACTATATAATTGGTGATAGCCAGTACATTATTCGGATCAGTTTTGGACTACATAGAGAGCTAGCACGGCAGGTTTCACCCAGACCGGGACCCAGGATACCAGGGTTATCACAGCTACCACTACGATTTCTTGTAGCTGACTAAGGTTGTAAATTGAATAAGAGAAACATCGGGGTCAAACTATGGGTGGTACAAAGCCTACTATGGATCGCCTAAGCATTGACATAAGGGCAAATGACAAGGACAGGGTGAGGGTTGATGTTGTTTGTGCGAACAGACCTCGTAAACCAGATCTCAGAGGGCAACCACACATACTTATCAACAACAAACCCTCACGCAGTTTGGAATCAGGAGTCAGCTAGCGATCCTCGTCATCATGTTGGTGCAGGTTTAACCTTAGGGTTAGCATGTGTATATATATACACACACACACATACATGCACATGCACGCATACGGGCAAGTCGAGATGGTCATATACTACAGTGAGAAAGGGGGTACCTTATACAATATGTTGGGGTAAACAAACACATACTGGTATCATCCCTATAATCTATGAGGCCAATGGTCTGGGTTTCTCCTAAAACCATTATTCGGATTGCTGTTGAAGGACGGTGCAGTACGAAGGTTACCAATGGGAACAAATTACGGGTAACATTAAGTTTGCAAGTAAGGTCCATCTTGGAGTCAGATCCAATGTCAGGGTTGCCAAGGGGACTGCAACATCCTTACTATCGGGGGCCAATCAGGCTGATGTATGTTATTGTACTAACCCTCAAGACACATAGGGATTTACAATGGGGTTCAGTCGACATAGCAATGTTAAATCATACGAACTAGGCCGTGGAACTATAAGGAATCTCTTTAGGGTGAACATGAAATAGAAGACTACTATCACCATTGGGGCCAATGTAAGGTCTAATGGCAGGGTCAGTCTTAGGGATACTGTTGTTTAGGAATAGCAGTCAGTCAANNNNTACGTATTGCTGGGGCTTTGATCTGAAACTACGGTGAAGGCTACCTTGGGAGTCAGCACTCGGGCCCATATCGAGCTTCGGGTATTCAGACAGAAATGAATTTCACCCTTGGAGAAATCATCTCTCAGAGTATCTGCGTGAANNGGTCGCAAGAATTGAGAATGAAGGCTTCTGACGATATAGGTATGCTGTCTCCTCGGAACTTCAAAACCTAACGTTAAACCTGGGTAATACACCAAACGCCTACACATAGGACGCGGCACCTCGCTGTGATTCATGGGGTTAGAATATATATATATATGTATATATATATATATCTCTCTCTCTCTCTCTCTATCTATCTGTCTATCTATCTATCTATCTATCTATACAGACAGACAGACAGACAGACAGACATGTATATA